TTGCTCCTTATTTAATAATATACTGTAGCTGTCGATGATCAATCGGATACAAAGTTACTTCAAGAGAACACCGTGGCGACTTTAATAGAGGTCAACGAGGCGTTAACCCCCCTCAGTAAAGAATTGCCACGATCTTCAATTGATTCATTCTTAAATTGCCTATCTGAAGTATCGAAAAAACATTCATCACTCGCTTTAAAAATAGGTTACTGTAGCTCACATAATCTGACTCTACAGAATATGTATCGTAATATATCAAATAGAGGTGATGTTACAAAAGAACGAATTAAAAAAGTAGCGACCATTGGCCTCTATACATTTCAGCACGTAGAACGGACAAATCTATGCGAGGTCGTGCTAACTTATGGCACGACGCAAAATCATGAAGATACTAACTCCACACCTCGCATAGTAGCATCCTATAATTTAGCAGATCTCTATAATCTTTACGGTCGTGCACTCTTGATAGGAAAATCTAGAGCTTCCACCAATCGATCGAGTGGGAAAAATGATAGTCAAGACATTAACACGTTTATTGTGCAGGTTAATTTGGTACGACAAATCATAGAGGTGGCTTCAAAGTTGATTCGGTTGAGGCATTTTCTTTATCAAAAGATGAAGATTGAGGCGCGCGGTGTTTCTGAACTTCAATGTGTGCTGAATAAACTAGCACGAGATCTAAAAACATGGGAGGACATGGTTGATCGTGCGCAAAATAAACATTATTATTTGACTTTCTTTTCTGCACTCGATATTTTGGCATTTTACAAGTATTTTAGAACCAATAATCACGAACGAGATGTTGATAAGCTTAAAGAAGTCTGCCAAAACATTTTACGATTCGTTAATGACGCAGCACAATTACCAACTCCAATGGAAAAATGGAATGCCGTTCAAAATGAAGACGATATTTTCTCCGTTCTCTGCAATATTGGAGCTATACTATACGACATTTTTAATGATATTCCACAGCAAGTTCGATCTATTCCCGATACTCTGAAACCGGTGATAGCTGATACCGTTTTTAGAGGACAAATATTTGTGGCAGCTTGTCGTTCACATTCTTTGGTTCCGAATGTTATCTTATCGCTTTTTGCCAACCACCAGTCTTTTCCTAAACCATGGCAAATTCTTATTTGTCAAAGTACCACCACTGCAGAAGAGATTACGCTTTTTATTAAGCGTTCTTTCATTGCTACAGATAATGAGTATAAAGATTATTTGTTTTGCATTGCGAACGTTGAGTTCCTGAATTTTGAGCTACAAGATATCTTGGTTCGAGCCATTTACAATTTTAAAGAAAAAAAGAACGATTATCTTCTGGCCCTCGTGTGCACACTAGAATATGGTAGGAGCAATCATATTCTAGATCAATTCGCAGAAAATGTTCACGTAACAAATGGTCTAGATGCGGAATCTATGGAACTTTTGTATCAAGAAATTTGTTCCGACGTTATATGCGTGACATCTAAAATGTCTGGACAAGGAAAAACAGAATGGATTAAAGAATTCAGTTTTCAAAGAGATAAAGTTCCACGCACCTTGTTGATCAGTGATGGTGCCCACTTTGGAATCCTAGTTCGACAATTGGCTGATTGTAAAATAAGTGCTGTTGAAAGCTTACACCTTGATATTAGGCTTATCACACACCCATATGAGGTCAATTTCTTTTTATTCGAATTGCTGACGTTTAAAGTAGTTTCAAATGGTTCTGATATTGTACATCTGACTGACACTTTAATATTTGTCGAAATCGCGTCAACAACCAAACATTATTTGCTGGATTCATTGCCCATCATCAAATACCTACGTCGACAAGATCTTGAATGGAACATGGATAATCTAATGGTGTCTCAGCATGTAAATAGTCCTGTTCAAATAGTTTCTCGCTACCTGGATCTGTATTCTCGTAAAATTATTGATAAAGAAAATATTCGATTTACGGGAGATAACGCGATTGACGAGCCACTGCCGGCCGAACGCTGTCGACAATTATTACAGCGGTATTTTTTTGATGGTCAGAAAGATGACATTCATTCTTATAGATTCCTGAAAATTTTCATTAATGTGCTGGCGGATCAGTTGGTTCGATTTTCCGCAAGTCCTTTCTTTGAAATAGAACAGCTACGTATCATGATGCAGGAGACAAATATTCGCTCATCTCTTCTGGAGATATTGATTACATGCTCTAAAGAATTTGCAACACGAGCGATCAATACCAAAACTAAGCAAGAAGAGAACACTCGAGTCATTCAAGAAGGAGATACTCAAGACATAGACAGTGTACGACTTGGTAATATCACACAATGGAACGATTCAAATCACCTCATAGTTCTATTCCTATCACAAATACCGGATTCAATATGCGCGCTTTACCGAGAGAAGAACAAAGTGCCAAATAATGTGGAGAATCTATTAAAGAGTCAAGTTGGAAAATTGCAGGATTATTATTTGATGGAACCATCTCTTCTTCTAGAACGATTAGGACAACTTGTTAGACAAAAAATGCACAAACTCGATGGTTTGCCCAAATACGCGTTATCAATCGAAAATTTGCTCAAGATGGCAATGATACTATTAAGATCACGTGCAAACATACCGGTAGTTTGTTGTGGAGAAGCTGGTTGTGGCAAGGTTCGAATGAAGAAGACGTGTTAAATGCTGTATATCGATTCTTTTGTAAATTATTAGTCGCTAACTTTCTTTTTTTTTTTATTATTAAAATATTAATTACTGTATATCTAGACAAGTCTAATCAGCTTTTTGTCAATGGTCATGGAAGTAAATTTTATCGCGTTAGACCTTCATGCTGGAATTCATGAAGACGATATTCAGAATTTTATGAATGAAGCCACAGAACTTGCGCAAAAAGGTGAAACTTGGGTGTTCTTTGATGCGATAAACACGTGTGACCACATCGGAATGTTTGGAAATTTGATCGCCCATCGACTTCTTAATGGAAGACTAATTCATCCAAACATTCGAATATTTGCCGCTTGCAACCCGTACCGACTACGGATCAAGGCTCAGAGCAATGTAGGGCTTTCGGCAATCCTATATGAAGAAAAATGCATGTTGGCTTACCGGGTGCACCCAATGACTGATCAAATACTAGATTATGTTTGGGATTACGGCTGCCTTAAAGCCGAGGATGAGCGAAATTATATTGATATAATGGTAAAAACACAGTTGGGTCACCAATATTTTGCAGAATTATTATGCGCATCTCAAGAGTTTATTCGTAAGGTCGAAGAGCCATTTAGCGTTAGTTTACGAGATGTAAAACGTGCCATCAAACTTTATAAATTTTTCTGTGATAGCTCTAAAAATAGAAAGAAGTCAGAATATGACACCGAAACTCGTTCTCTAGTGTTGGCCCTGGGTGTGTGCTATCTTTTCAGGCTTCACGATCAATTGCAGCGCAGACACTACCGGAATAAAATGATTGAAATCATAAAAAATCATCAACCCAACTTCAAAACACCGCCAAACACTCTAAATGATGCTTTTGAAATTATAATCCGAAATGAACAAGATGAATACGCCAATCGTATGAAAAGTTATCCTGACGGGACCGCTTGGAATGAAGCGCTCTTAGAGAATATCCTCGTGATGATTGTATGTATTCAAACTCGAATCCCTGTCTTTATAATTGGCTCTCCCGGAAGGTAAATAGCAAATGAAAATTAGTGTAGATTGTTTTTTTGAAAATCTTTATTTAGTGTGATTTTGAAAAATGACAATTTACATCTTTCTTCTAGTTCAAAGTCATTGGCCGTACGAATCATCGGTATGAATTTGCGCGGAATAGATTCCAAGGATCCTTATTTTCGAACCTTGCCTCAAGTCTACATGATTCCGCATCAAAGTTCATCATTGTCAACTTCTGAAGGAATCGAGAAAGCTTTCCAATCCGCTCAAAATTATCAAGAAACTAGTTCAAAAGAAAACCCGGTTACATCCGTCGTCCTTTTATATAAAGGTAATAAAACTTGGAGAATAACATATTTTACAGTGTCTTATTAATCAATCCAATGTTGCTGTATATTGTAGTCGGATTAGCAGAAACCAGTTCGCACAATCCGTTGAAGGTGCTTCATGCTTTACTAGAGCCACCTCTCGGTTCCAAAGATGACGTGCCAGCCGTCTCCGTTATTGGAATCAGCAATTGGCGGTTGGACAATAGTAAATCCAGCAGAGCATTGCTAGTTCAACGTCCATTGTTTGCAGAAAGTGATCTGATTGATACCGCGAAGCGTTTGCTTGATGGTATTAAACGTTTTGACAACATTGATCTTTTTTTAAAGAGGCTTGCAGATTCATATATTCGTTACATAAAGAATCAAATATTCGCCAACTTTCATGGTAAGGTTACCGATTTTTAAAATGTCAATTGTTTTTCATGTGATTTTCTCATCATCATATGAATTGCGATTTTTTTCATTAGGGCTTCGAGATTATTATTTTCTTGTTAAGAGCATAAAAAGTATGTGCAATAATAATCAAAAGGTATGCATTATTTAAATATTCATTTATTGTTAAGTTACCGTGACTAATTTTTCAAGTTTCCCTAGCCAAATGTTCAACTAGCATTAGCTCGAAATTTCGGGGGAACTGACAACATGGAGGAGCTGTGTACCATCTATTTTCAAAATGTATTGAAGCCGGCCCATGTATCTAAATTTAATTATACACCCATACCCGTACAAGAACTTATTAATGCAAATCTTGCAGAAAAAGATGCTCGAAATCTTATGCTCATAGGAAATGGCAATTCCATTGTAACCTTTCAAACATTTCAGCTTCGTCAACAAAATATTGAACCGGTTGTGATTATCGGCTCTCAATTCCCTGACGATAAGGACGGCGGGGAATATTTAAATGCTACTCTCGATCGCATAATGGTATTTGGAATTAAGAATTTTATTTGTAATGAACGATCAAAATTCCTAATTTTTTTTTTTTTTTTAAAAACCCGTGTTTCTGATGAAGATGTGTGTGGAAACAGGAAGATGTTTAATATTGACAGACCTTGAAATAATTTACGGTATGCAAAGAGATACGGTATCTCGTAATTTCTCTGTGTTTAAGAATATTGATAAAATTTTTACACCTGTGTAGACTCTCTTTACGACTTATTCGATCAGCATTTCATAACGGTTGATAATTCAAGTGACGAAAACAATCAAAGGAATTATACCAGAATTGGCATTAGTCCATACTCCAATTCTATGTTGTATGGTAAGTGTATCTGTATTTGTTTTTCCTTTTCTTTTTGCAAAATCAAACATCATATTCTACATTCACTAATCCATAATAAACCCTTCTTCCTTTTCTTAGTTCATCCGAATTTTAGGTGTATTTTGGTGCTGGATAAGGCAAAGTTGCCATATGCAGATCCAATCCTTTTGAGTCGTTTCGAAAAACAAAAGCCTACGCTTGAAGAAACTCTCACCGAACGCGAAGCAATAATTTTAAACCGCCTAAAAGAGTGGACACGCCTAATCTCATCTATTTATGAATTGGGCGACGACAATGCCGAAGGCCGCTTCAAAGAAAAAGACATGTTTATTGGATTTTCATCTGAAGAGACACTGCAGAGTTTGATTATAGACCAATGTAAAAAAAATTCGGATTCGGACGATGACGCAATCGTTTCTTTATGCAAGGAATCTTTGATTTCTATTGCCACTTCAGACAGTATTTCAAGGGCTGATGAATCCCTTTTGAATCTAAGTGATGCTTTAGAGGTAAAAGAATGTCAAAGGGTCTATTTTCAAGATCAACGACATGGCAATGTTCGAGAATTTTTTCGCGCGCTGTTAGATGACGACTTTACCGGTCATTTGACAATCATAAATACTTTCTCTAATATTAATATCGACATCAAATCATACATGAATGGAATTTCAAGTTGTCAAGTAGATAAACTGTCAACCTTTAGGTCCGAAGCTAAACTTCAAGATCAAATCAATCGGTTTTATGAATCCGAGTATAATTTGTATATTTTGCAATGCGATCCCGCAACTATGGACGCAGGATGTATTAGACTAGCAAAGTTTATGATTGAGCAGTCTCAAAAGGAATTCATGGATAAAGAAGATCAACAAAATATCCACAGACCGGTTAAAAACGCGTGTATGGTCCTTCATCTTGGCAGAAATTTTGAATTAAATGGCACAAGTTTATTTAATTTTATGAGCGGCTGGAATCAAATTACTATTGAAAATCTGACTGCATCAGAAAATTCTCTTTCACTCTTTCTTCATACGAATGTCGACGAAATTCCCAACGAAAAAAAATTGTCGTTTGAACAAATCCTGAGTCAGGAATTGCCATGGTGTCTGCTATGTATGAAACATCCCCCTTCTAAGAAGTCGGTCGAGCATATAAGGTTAGCATATACGTACTACATATACACTGGTATAAATTACATACGACGACGTACAGTATTTTTGATTTAAATAACACTTCACCCTAGGCAATTGGCTCAAGACATTCCGAAATGCGCAACATTAGTCGAATGTTTGAAACTTCGAACCGAAGAATGGTTGCGAGTCAATTCTTCGGATCAATTGCAAAAATCGTCAACGAATATGCGCACCTTGATTCGAAAACCGATCGCAAAGCTACTTTATATCCTTGAACGATATCATGCAATCCTATTCTTCTTTTCGTGGGATAATAATAGAGATGGATCGAATAAAAATGATTTATTTAAATTTTGGAAACAGATATTTATGAACAAAAGGATAGTGAATATCGATAATATGGTCATGGATCCAAAACCAGATCTGTACATTATCTCGGGTAATTACCTGAATCTCAAATTTCCATTTTCATGTTACTTCATGGAACAAATAGATAAACACAAGGAACTTTACCTCGGGGAACTTGATCTTCTGTGCGAAAAACCCGAAAATTTAGATGAAAATGGATATTTACGTCCAGAGATCATGACCCAATTTCTTGAAAAATTTTCTGAGGGCATTCGAACGGCGATCGCAACATTGACACCAATAATTTTGGCGCGCGCCAGAAATCTCTATTTTGAAGATTTCATCACAATCTCTTCCGTGAATGCCGGATATTCTAATGAATCCGATATAAAACTATTTCAGTCTCTATTTAGTCGTTCGTGTGATGCTGAGGTGTTCAACGACCCGATTAAATTGCACATATTCTGGTGGACAAATTCCGAGGCACTTATTTCAAAACTAAAATTGGCGAAAATGTTTCCATCGAATTCGCTCGAAGATAGTAGCTTTACTAGTAATGAACCCTTTAAGAGCCATTTTATAGATCAAGTTTGTAAATTAATGCTTGGAAAGATTATGAATTTAAGAGGGGAACCTGCAGACGAGGTCAAAAGTATTTTACGGGATTGGAAACTCCAAGTTGTCAACATTTTGTCATTGTGCTCCAATATTGAGAGAGTCCCGGGGTCAAGAAGTCTACAAATTTTACGTATCTGCAATGAACTGGTTTCCAGTCGATCAATTGAAATTTCAAATATCGCTGATGCTATCAACCTTCTCCAAACACCAAAGTCCGAAAATATTCTCACCCAAGAATTTGTTGAACGTATCTTAGAACTTTTTAACAAATTTCCGACCACCGAACAAACAATAGCATCACAATGTTCATTCTTTCGGCTATGTATCGAAATTATTTTGCCAAGCTCACCATTGCGTATTCACCTTTATAAAATACTTTTCGGAAAAGAATCATACCCACTTTTTGACTCTGTTTTATCAAGTGTTTTGGTTGAGGTCATAAAAACAGAATCGCTGACTCTTCCCGGAATAATTCAAAATACGTCGACTATTTTGGATGACTCTATTCATCTAAATGCAATAAATGCAGCTCTCAAAAGTCATCGGTTGGATTCTCCTATCTTTGCCTTGTGTGTTGATGTGATGCAAAGAAATTTTTTTTCTTTTTGTTCGTTCCAGGATTTGTTCAATAGTTTTCAGGATGCAGTTAATATTTTACGCAGCACAAATGTCGAACCTTTGCAGTCTATATTAGCCGTTGCCTTACTCAAAGAGTTTGTGAACACCCTTTGGAAATCATTGGTGTCGATCGGGGACGCCACAAGAGAGCCCTTGGAGTTTGACGTTGATGTGGATATTAATAGGCTAATTAAAAATATTAATCAAGCTATGGAACGCCAACCATTTCAAATTCGTTCGTTAAAATTATATTTCCTTCGTGATTTATATGCCAAGGGACTTACATTGCATGAGGTTAAATGTTTTAGTAAAGTGCAATGCGGAATATTTCCTTGGCTAAATGATCTCGAATGGAGCGACGATGACAATCGAATGGGCTTCGTGCCTTATCGTTTCTATGACCAATATCAGGAAGCAGAGGAAGCATTTGAACCACTATACACGCGCGGACAGCAAATGAAAGCTGAAAAATTTTTAACTGATGTTTTAACTGACTCATCAATAAGTAAAAAGATGTCCTTAATGGGAATTGCCATCTCTCGCCTTCGTGACATATATGCCTTGCGTGAATTAAGCCTGCACGAAAAAACGACGATTCAATTTTTGCATACTCAATTATCGAATATGCCATTTGACAATTTTTATCGAGAAACATTATTATCTTTCATCACGAATACTCGTCAACTTTATCTTATTTCACCGGAAATAAGTCAGGTAGAGCTATTGATTCGGTCGGTTATCGTTCACATCATCGCAATCCATTCTTGCCTTTCTGCATCAAATTCTCCATTAGCTGCATATCTGAAAGAATTAAAGACTTGTAAAGACACATACATATTAGCATCTAGTTCAGACGTTGATGCGAACATTCTTATTGAAATCGGAGAGGCGCTTGGTCAATTTGCACGGTGTGTACTTAAAAAAAAAAAATAGACGAAATCTTTAATTTTTCTAATTGATTGTCTCTTTAATAGTTACGAATGCAAATGTGGTTTTAAATACATTATTACCGAGTGTGGTGACACGAGAGAAGAGGGTATTTGTCCGCGATGCAAAAGTCGTATTGGAGGAGTAAACAATAAAGTCAATCCTGGAAATAGACGTATCGACGCTCAAACTATTCGTGGAAATGAAGAGACAAATGAACGGTTGGGCTATGTTTATGAATATACTGAAAGCAGAAAAAATGTGAACTATCGTATTCGTGATATGACATCAGCATCCTATCGCGTGCTGCATCTTTTCGTGCATACGCTTATTGCTGCAACTTCACGTGAAGATTGTCGGAATTTCTTCAACCAACAAGATCTAGAATTGATTAAAGAACCTATTGAATATTGTAAGCGACACATTGAAAATGACTGGCATATTTTAACATGTCTTTTTGATTGTAACGACGAAACCTTGGCGCTTGTTTTACACTCCATTCTATCTTTCATGGCCGAAAATCCAATCACAACATTCGTGCGATTGGACACTATGGAAAAACGGCGACTTTGGGAACGTGAATTTACTCGTCGTTACATCACTTTCCAGGTAATTAATGCTCACAATACTGCAACAGAATTTCAAAAGCTAGTGAAAAATGTTCAACACAAGCTCGAAAGTGAGATCAATGAAACTTTAAGGAATGAAGAGAGTCATGACAACTTTTGTCCTAAAATTTGGAGAAGGACTACTGAAGCAAGCTTTGAAAATTTGCGAGCATATTGCGCAAGATATCAAAATTTTGCTATAGAATTTCCATTTTTATCGTTATTCTTTGAATATGAAGAACGATTATCATTATTAAAAAATCTTTTACCAATTGTAAATTTCGTACGAATACTTTCTTCAAAATTAAGTTTTCGTTTAAAAAGGGAAGACACTCTCCATTTCACCTTCAATAGATTTCTCGATAATGAAGGCCCATCTACAGGAAATTTCAAAAAAGCTTTTGAGAATTTTTCTAAAGCCTGGAATTTAATTAGGAATCACATTACACGATATAAATGTCAAGAGTTTATCAAGCCAATGCCTGAAATGAACGGAGATATTTCTGTTTCCTATGCATTAGTCGAACAAGAAAATGAGTCGTTATATATATGCGGAGCGATTGAGTATCTGGTGAATTTGCAAAATCTATTTTTGCAACAAGTTTTGACCATCAAGCCTGATTGTTCCTCACTGAGATTTTTGGAACAGGAACAGTTCTCGTCGAATGATAGGATTGGAAATCAAGCGTTCCAACATCGATATAAAATAAAATTATTACCTCTTTCCAAGGCACACGACGATAATATTATAAATTATGAATGGAATACTCAATTGCTTTCCTATAGCCACCGCGATCCTAGGCTTGGTCACGGACATAAGATTAAATATGAATTGCGTAATATTGAAACAGAATTGGCGCATTCCTTGATTTTTAACAAAGTTTATTTGATTGAGAATCACAATTCATTCTGGCTAGACACATTCACGTATCATCTGGAACTATTTTCAAACCATCCAACAATTCTAGGCGAAATTAAAGAATTAATTCCTCAAGAAGTGACCTCTGCTGACAAACTTGGGATTCCACTTCACGAAAATCCAACTGAACTCTTATCAGAACTCGAGATATTACTTTGTTTTTTGAAACAAACTTCGGGGAATCGAGAGATGAAAATTATCGATTACCTCAGTAAATGGATGAGGCTATCGACATTGACCGAAAGTGATCGGTTTTGTAGAATGGTCAAAGAATTACGATTAAAACACGTAATATCATTATATGAGATGGTGGAAGAAAAGGTGGCAGAAGTAGAAATTGAATCCCTTGACGAAAAATATAAAGACAAGCTATCAAAACAATCACAAGATGAAATAGTAGCTGGAGTAGATTTTGATGGTGTTGGTAGAAACCTTATCAGAAAACATAAAATTCCACATGAAGCATTTGCAACCGCGTTGAAAAGGTTTATGTTTCGTTATTTACGGTCCGAAAGATTTTCTGAAAAAGATAAACTTGCCAACTATTTAGCTGAGGAAACCATCATCAATTTTTGGCAATCTTGGGTATCTAAAGATATTATTCGTGAAAAATTTCCAAAGTCCCTATTGGTTGCAAATGCTTATGACGCGTATAAATTTATAATGAAACAAATTCAGGCGAGAGTATTGATTTAGATGTTGTAAGTAAAAGGGAGATCACGGTAACGCGATATGTGTCACGTTACGTAATTAGTGACGGTGGGAAATTAAGGTGTGAGAATTTAAAGGTGAGAATTTCTAGAATAGCGTGGAATAGTAAAACCAATGTAAACATGTAAATGTATAAATAGTTTAGAGTACGCTAGCATTTAACAATAAATTAAAGTTGAAAATAAACTCTTACCCTGTTTTTAGGCGCGCCCTAAATACTTGTAACTCGTGCTACGCGACTAAGCAAGAAAACCAAGGTTTGCCTAAGTGAATTGGCATAGGAAATGTTCTAGATTAGTCGATAGAAAGGTTAAAGTAAAACCGGCCAAATCGAAGACACTCCTCAAGAGTTAAGAAGAAACTTACATTATTGTTAACCAAACGTAGCGAGAAGCATTGTGGGCTTGTCGACAATGTACTATGCTGTATTTAAATTACAGGATAATATTTTGATGTTTATCTTCCAATAATCATGTTCCAATATAGAATATAGAATATAGAATAGTAGTAACGGTAATAACGAACTCATGGATAACAAGAGGTTGCTTAGATAGAGGCCGCGGAGGCAGATTCCTGAGATTTTTTGTGTAAATTGATATTTGGATCAAATCATATATACAATATAATCTTGGCTTGATTTATTATGTTTTCTTATTTAAATCGAAATCAATATACGATAAACAGTGAATTTTTATCAAAAAACTTACGTATTTGCAATGTAAGGCTCTTCAAAGGGTTTAAACAACTAAGATAAAGATACTAAACATATTTTTTTTAAAAAAATTTCGCAATATACTGTATATATTGTTAAAGGATAAATATGAGTTACATCTATGTCGCAGTCACGACTGATTTAAGTATTTTATGTATTCGCTATCTCTTCTTGTGTGGTGTTTGGATCTGTATATTAATTTGGCATTAGACGCTGAAGTCAGAAGGTATTACGATGTGCATAAATTACCTTTGATTTGGCAGTATCTGGACCAATAGCAGTTCGGAACCCTTTGTTTTCTTCATCTGAATGGAACTCTTTCTTTTTCATCCCCAACTTGACAAACGCCTAATACATCTGTTAATGCTTCTACACCACCTTTATCGTCATCTTCCTCCTCGGACTCAACTTTGCATTTTCCAAATTATTCTTCCCCTTCATCAAATACTCCGACCACTCCAAGCTCATCATCCATCTCGCCTAAAATTTATCGTAATTCATGGCATCCCCAGAATGATAATCTGTTGTTTTTTTCTCAAATTCACTAGCTGCGCAAATCTATCCGGTGCAATGGTACCAATGACCGTTCCAATATTTTTTTCTTGTAAAAATCCTGGAGTAAAGAATTTTTAAAAAATTGCAGAATGTCGTCTGCGGCACTTAAAATTATGTCTTAAACTTGATCACTGAGGTTTTCATGAACGAATATTAAGGTCAATTCGTATGTCTCTCGAGTCTTTTTTGTCCATTGTCTGTAAAATACTCATCAAAATATTCAGTAACTGATATACTGTACATAAGCTTTTTTTAATGCACTAAAGAAATAATTGTATTAAATTAAAATATAAAGGAAAATCAGCTCGAAAGAAAAAAAAAGTAATATAAGACGAACCTCTCCTCTGCTTCTGTTTTTACTTGTAAATAATTTACAGTTTCCCTTTGTGTTCTGATACCAAAATCTTTCGGGTTGATTTTCCCCATAACAATTCTGACTCATCAGAAGCTCATTACCTCAACACGGTTAATTCTGATCGATTTGCTTGTAGAACAAGATTAAATTTAGCGATGTATAAGCTAGTACCAACATAAAAGAGAAATACAATTGTATTCTTACAATTATTAAATAAATTTCGAACCTTAAATAAGGAACTTATCGCGTTGCTTTATTATTCAATATTCTTGTAATTTTGTTAATGCGGCTAATAGAAAAATCGGAATTAGTGATTTCTAACAGAAAATAAATATTTTCGTTAAAGAGAAATTTAGCAAGTATTCTAAACCAGCCGGATCAAAATTATCTAAAAGTTAGAGCTTAATCACCACAAGAATCACCTACAAAATCAAGATGTTTAATATCTAACAAAAAAATTACCCGTGATAATAACACTTCTAATAATCAATCAAATTTCAGAACATATTTACCTGAACTTTAACCCTATGATCTTCGGGTCCCAAATCCGAATTACTATCAGATGGTTAAACCCGTACCCGACCCGAACTGACTCATTCGGAACACTATCAGTGATGGTTACGCGAATCTCTGTTGGCATTAGTGACAGACTCACCTTTTGCCTGTTACTGTGTTACTGCAGAAATGAAAATGGACAATAAAAAAGGACATGATCATTTTTTTGATAACGAGAATAAATTTATTGAAAAAACGAAGCATTTGATCACACAAAAATATCCATAATACGTATCGAATATTATGAATAATAAAAAAGAACACAGTACCGTATGTAACAAATAGATTCTATGTTAAAAAATTCTATGAATCACATTGTTTTCTTCAAAAGCTCTTTTAGAACTTTCTTGATTTTCAACTTTTGTTCTCTTAAAACCTTTTCCTCTTGTTTTTCTTGATCTGCTTCCTCTTCTTCTTCCTCTTCTTCTTCCTCTTCTTCTTCTTCCTCCTCTTCTTGTTCTTTTGCTGAATTTTCTATAAATTGGATTAAATCAATTGGTATCTTACTTATCCTTTTTACCTGGTCATCTAACGTTGTCATAATTTCGGCTACTTTTTTCTCTTCGTTTTTAAATTCATCTACTTCTCTTTCTTTTTTTACTAGATTCTCTAGCGCTTCTTTTACATTATCAATCCCTTTCTTGTTTTCTGCCTCAATTCGATCTGCAACCTCTTGTAGTTCATTTAAAGCCGCGTTCAAACCTTCCACTATTTCCACATTTCATTAAATATTCTTTCAGGATTCAAGTAAATGGAGTAAAATTTTTTGATATTTTCACCTTTATCATGAATATGTTCGAAAATTCTACTTAATGTGATGGTGGAAATCGAAAAGATAATTTGAGTAATAATAGGTGTATTGCTAAGAAAATATCCAGATGAAATTGCAGAATAAGAAATAACTATTGCAAAAAGTGTGAACTTAATCCATTTTAATTTATAAATAGTTCGAAAATATAAAGACCGAGAAAACCAAGAAATAATAAAGATAATAAGTTTAATAATAAAATATAGTGCTAATAATAGTTTAATTACATTACTAAATATTTTTAGGTCTTTGCATCTATTAAAACTATAATTGTCAATGCAATATTGACCAATAGAATTAAGATTATCCACAGTGCCTTCTTCAGTATAGTCTTATTGAGAAATCACAAAGTAAATATTACTTAATATAAAAAATATCGCCATAATTAAATATTCCATAAATTCTATAAAAGCCATTTTAATTGATTTTTGCAGTCTTCTGTTATTTTTTTGCCCTTTCGTTATTTTTTTCCAATGTTTTAATAGAAACAACATCCCCCATTGAGCAACGAAAAGAATTAAGCATGCGACACAACATAAAAAAAAATTTACTTTTAATTTATTGGCAGGTTCTTTGTATGGCTTATATACAGAAATAAGAGGTGGTAAAATAATACTAAAAAATGTAACAATATCATCGAATATATTTATAAAAGAAGATTAAACTTTTTTATCACTTTTAAACCCGACATATAGAACAATCAAAAATGATGGAACAAATATGGATGTGATAGTTGAAATACTATCAGAAAGTGAATCGTAGTCGGGCATTTTTTCAACGAAGAAAATTTTCACTTTACAAGCGGAGATTTCATAAGATTTTGAAATGTTATATAATCTATTTAATATAGTTCCTTTTTTTTTAACATGCTCAATTGTATCATAAATGATTACAGTATATTGTAATAGTTAAACAACGAAGTACGCCTTCACAATGTGCATGAACACAAAAATAACAATACTTCTTAATAGAGAATCCTAATACGGTACTGTACTGTAGGACAAGTAAATCAAAACATTAGAAAATTGGTTCCTGTAAAATGCAGTACTGTATAGATAACACTATTAATGAATTAACGATGTATTGCATTTTAACCTAGAAATAATGTAAGGTTTGCAGTACTGTATTCGCTTGCTAATGTGAAGGTCAGGATCGACTCCGATCACGTGACACGACTATCGCAAATCCCGGGGTTTCTAGGATTCCTAAAATCTCAAGGATCCTAGTGATTTTGGTTATTCTGATGATTCTGGGAATAACTCAAATAGTAGAAATAGCAGTAATAGTAGTAATAGTAGTAATAACCAGGATAGTTTTTTTTGTATCTAACATGTATATAAAGAGTTTAAAAAATCAGTTAATAAAAAATTAAGCTTCTACAACCGGAAACATGAAAAGTTAAGTGTGAATATTAAAGTTTTGTCAAAAATTGTATGAAGAATTTGGATCAAATCCTTTTCACACCTCAATCCTTACAGGATCTAAAGAATTATCAACTAGATGAGCCTCTAGCCCCTCACACTAACTAACATACAGTAAAAAAATTTACAACATCAATGTCATCATTTTCATGTGATTTTACTTTAATTTCTATTTTCATATCTGCAAATAACTTTAATGAAAACTTATAAAATATATGTTATTTGTGAAAGGCTTTATTATTATTTAAAAGGTTTTTGAGAAATCTATTACAATCATCAGAAGAAAACATTGTCAAATACTAAGATCACTCATCAACAAATTTTTTCAGAAATATTTATTTTTCTAGAAATCATAAGCTCTGATTTCCTATTAACCATATTGATGAAATTAATATATATAGCAACGCGATAAGTTTATTATTTAAGTTTGAATACTGTAATATTGTTTTCATATTTCTTGTTTTCTTATTATCTACATTATTTTACACATTTCCATCTATAATTTTCCAACTTAATTTTGTTTATTAGCAATTAAATTACATAATGCACTATGGTTTTGTGTTGCACACCTGTGTTCACATATGCCAAACAGTTTTTGATTCAAGTAATAAAAGTATTTTAATAAATAAAACATTAATTAAAAGCAAAATAGAAAAAAATAAGATGAGTTTTGAAAATTTTCAAAGTATTATAAATTATTTCTAATAATATATTTAAAAGAGAATTAAAAAAGAACTTGGCTTAATTTATCACTCAACACCTACAATTTAACAATCCTTTCAAACTATCTTAATCACAAATCATCTCTTATACTGGTATTGAATAATGTGGTCCAGAACCAATCTGATTCAAAAACTCCAATAACAATAACAATCTCTTGAAATCCTATAAGTCTATTTCAAATCCAAAACCAATTTTCTGATTCCTTTACAACATCAACTCATTTATCAAAACATATAAAAGATATTTGAACATATACAAAAACATCTCTCTAAAAGACCAATACTACACAATAGATTCTAGCAACAATCTCATCAAGTGCCATGTCTGATCCCTAGACTAATTTTTAATAACTCTTGCTCATTAACCTTCATTAATACTAATGCTTTCTTACTCTAAACAATCAATAAAATCTTATACAACTCCAAGCATCACTTATACAATATTATAGAAGAATTAGCAATCTTTTTATTCAAAAATAAATATATTCTTCATTCAGAAAATATTATATCTGCTTCATCATCTCTTTTACTACTTCAAACAATTGATCAATGCAACTTATACCATATCCAACTCATCAGACAAAATGTAGTTGTCAATAATATCAAAATTATAATAACAAATCCAAAGCTACAAACAAATAACATACTTCATATCATCTATAAGATTTTGCAATAATGTTTCACCCAGTGCATTATCAAAATTAAAAACAATAAAAATATAATTCAAACTTCTTCTAACTTTTTTAGGAAATGAACAAAAATTAACTTTACTACTTTTATATTAAGAATCGAATATATAGCAACTTAAAAATCTATTAACTTTAATCTTGCCAAATCTAAGTCCAAGTCAAAAACTACTAATCATATATAATGAAACAATCCACCTCTACATTTTGCAAAGAATCCTACTATAAACTATACAGATTTGAAAAGTTGCTTAAGATAATAAAATCGCAACGATCACATAACCAGATTGTCGGAATTTGATAGGTTTCAGTAAAGTATACCAAAGAACTAGTTCTAGGCTCTTAAATTACCTCTTCCCTTAATAAAAGAACTTAACAAAATCACCAAGAAAATCTTTTTGAAATCTAATTTCCCCTGAAAAATAATGAAAACCTATCCTTACTAATTGCCCAACTTCACAAAAAATATGTTTTCAATAGACTATCTAAAGAATACATAGCTCCTGAAGATATGCCAGAGCCTAGCTTTGATCTTATCCCTTTTATTTACTATATGAACAAATTAACTAACTATAGTTATTCATTAACTCCAAACATGCAACAGGTTATCCCTCTACTGATACTTTTTCTCAAACCAACAATATATCTTCACAAATTAAAAACTTGCTTAACATTATTATCTTAAATGTTCAAGGTCTAAACAACTGGAGCAAACTTACAGTGCTAGTATAAGATCTCAAAAGTAAAAAAACCATTATATATTGTTTAAAAACAAAGATCTCAAAAAATAACCATCTTTTCAAAAAACTAAATGGCAAGGTAATAATTACTAGTAAACCATCAGACTCATCAAAAAATAGTACCTGCCTAATTATAGGCAAAGATCTATACAATTATATTTTCAAAACTCATATTGAAAATGAATACTGGTGCATAGCCCACTTGAAATTCAAGTTAAATATCAACTTGATAATTACCTTTATCTACTTACCTCACAAACAGAAAAAAAAAAACATAGCAATTCAATCTCTAGTCAAATTTATAAGAAGATTAAAAAAACCAACACATTAAATAATGGCAAGAGACTTTAATACATATCCAACCAGTACATCTGCTATAAATGCCTCAATAACAAATTTCAAAAGAAGAATCTATAACCACATGCAAGACTAAATCGATATAAACAAAACTATAAACAAACAAGAAGAATTCACATATATAATAAGTACAAGCGCATCAAGAATTGATCAAATTTGGTGCACTAGCTATCTAAGAACTAAGTCCTTGATGCAAAAACCTTTGATTCAGATTCAATTATCATGGATCACAAGCAAGTACAAGTTATCTTCAATTGGTTTGAATACAAATTGCCAACACCTGGATACTAAATGAAACTTTTCAATTAACAAATCAGCAGAAATCTAATTTTAGAGAAGAAGTTAAACTAAGAACATCTACATCAAATCACCTCACATGGTCCACCTTTAATAACATTCTAACTAATGCAGCAAGAAATAATCTCTCTCTGATAAAACTACAACTGTATAAAGCAAAAGAGTATGGCTACTTTCACTATTTTAAAACAATTAAGTGAATCAAAAATATAATCTCTAAAGAAAAAAGAAAAGACATTACAAAACCAAGCACAATTACTCTTTCAAAAAACATTGTATTCATTTATCAAAAAATTTAAAAAGATGCTTCAGTTACTATCAGGTTATTAAATCATGTAAGAAAAATTTTAATTAAAGAAAGACTATATAATATCAAAGAGCAACGGCTAAATTAAATTTATAAAGCCATCATAGACAATATTATCAAATTTTGGGAGAAACCAAAAAGCTTCATTAAAAAAGTCCTGTGTAACTTAAAACTCTCATTGAATCTCAATATTATACAAGATGAATATAAAAACCTGACTGATAATCCTGAACAAATTAAGAGAATCATAAATAATTAAATCAAAAAAATATTAGCCAATATCAACTTCAATCTATCAAATTCCCTATAGAAGGATTCATACTTTCCAATAGAATCAACCTCAGAGGAAATATATCAAACATCTCTAACAATAGTCAAGCCTATAGAACTTGCCATAGCACTAGACAGTACCACAACAAATAAAACACTGGGCTCCTTAAGAATCACTTATAAAATGATTGACTTCTTGAAAGAAAATTTCAAAAAAACACTTTTGCAACTCTATAACTCTATTCTTGATAACAAGCAAAAAATATCAAAAATTTGAAAAAATCAACAATAGTTATTTTATCCAAAAAAATAATTCAGTTATACAAAATTGTAAATACTAGACCAATTTTCCTAATCAAATCAACTAGAAAAATATTTACAAAAATTATTAACACAAGAGTATCTACGATTCTTCTCAAAAATAATATTCTGTTTCAAGCCAGCTTTGCTGATTTAGCAGAGTAAAGTATAATGAAACCCTTAACAATAACAGCATCAACTCCTAACACAGCTATCAACTTGAACAATGAACTCTAGATCTCCTTATTCAATATTGCAAAAGCCTTCATCTTTGTAAATCTCAACAGCCTTAAAGCAGCCTTTCAAAGAATCAAAATATCAAACAAACTAATCAATATATTCCATAATCTTCTATATAACCAGTAGCTTACAATTGTAACAAACTTTGATAAGACAGAAGAATTTAGTATAGCAAAAGGATTATATCAGAAAGAAATCCTATTGCCACTCTTATAAATGATCTTCTATAATCTTATGGTTTCAAAGATCATGAGCCACCAAAACTATTCTTTAATTTCTTTCAATATTCTTATGTACGTGAATAATGTACTGCTAATAGCAGATACAATACCAAAGCTTAAACAACTTACTGATACTTACTGTTCATTTTTTACTCTCAATGAAATCAAATGTAATGTAGATAAAACTATTCTTATTACAACAATAGATAACAGCAATCACAACAGAAATGTTTTTCTAAAAGTACTTAACTTAAAAATAAACCTTCTGCCACAGAAAACACTTTTGCAATATCTTGGAAATTATTTCTCAGGCAATTCTACAGACAACCTATCCAAGCAAGTCCTAGTAAAAGGTCCAAATCAAATTATTACAGCATGCAGTAAACAATCTTGAAATGGGCTGATAACTAAACAAGTTTTAAATTAAATAATATCAAACAAACTTGATTACATCATCTATTTAGTTTCAATGTCTAAACAAGAATTGTCAAAGTTAAAAGTCAAAATAAACAATATTATCAAAATAAAACTACGAGTAGGAAGAACTATCTCAGACAGAATTATATACTCCCAAGTGGGCCTTAGATTTTTTAACCTATCAAATAGGCAAGAACTCACCACATCAAAACTGCTTGTCACTAAACTTTGCAATTTAAAAATCAAAATAGTCATGGATATAGAAATTAAATCAATACAAGCCAGTAAGGAGATCTGACTATGCCCACTGTACTTTCTCGAGAAATTTCAAGAGAGTTAAATCACCAAAGCAGTCTCTTTATATAAACAGTACAAAATTTTAATCTGTTTATCTAATTGTATATTTAGTGCTTCAAATGGTAATTACTCCCTAGATCTCTTTTTTTTTTTCAAGGGCAAAGCCCTTACTTGTCAAGCATTAAAACTCTACAGAAAAAATATTAAATTCTGTAATGACCTTCTAGTATTTCAGCTAAACTGCAAGCTTATATGGCATGAGTTCAATACATATCTGGGCCCTACTTCTAAAGATCCTACTCCAGTCTGGTTTCTTCAAATAAACGCTCATATGCAACTCTATGGCTTCTTTACCAGCATACTAAATCTTAAAGCCAGATTTTGAACCACTCTAATCAATAATCAAATTATCTTCATCATAGTCAGATACAATCAA